GATAATCATTCGATGTTGAATAATAATTTGCTATTAATGGCGTGTCCGTTTTGAGATGATTTTGAATATCGATATTCATTTAATGAATATATTAAAACATTTAATTGGGATTTATTTTCTACAAAAGATTCTTTCATTAACTCTACTATTCATTAAAACAATATCATCATATTCATGATTTATATCACGATTTGTTAGCAAATAATTAAATTGATTTTAAAATCTTTTTTTTATCAAGACGTTTAATTAAATCACTTTTTAAATGTTGTTCGATTATTGATCGACACATATCCCAAGGTCAACTATAGAGCATACATTATTTATTGATTATGCTTCCATCATTTGAACATAACTCAGTTAAACAAGAATCTTAAAAAAAAGACTTTTAACTCTTTATACGATTTATTAAATTTTTTTTCTTTTTTTATTAAATTATTTCTATTATTAAATAATATTCTAACTAGTATTTATTCTTTCGAATAAATAATTCAATTAGTTCTATTAAGTTTCAATATTGTGTTTACCATAGAACTATCAATTTATAACATAATAACCAACTCGAATAATACATATTCGACTTAAGAAACTCTTAAGTTAATCTTAAATCTTTTCAACAAATTTTTTCATAATTTAATTTAAAAAAAAAACAGAAAAAATTGAACAACTCGTTTAACATGATGATATTCAAAGTCGAATAGGAATATATCGTTATTTTTGATTCTATTAAATAAATTAATATAAATCGTTTTTTATAGAGATCTATTTGTTTTACTTGATGCAATAACTAAATATGCATATGAATGGAGAAATGTATCAAATGTTCTTAAAACATGTTTTCTTACAAATGGTACAGCAAAAAGAGTTGAATCCCTAACACGAGTAATAAATAAAGAACAAAAAAAAAACTTTATGATTTTTTTTTTGTCTAATTAATAAAAAATATTTAATTTAGATGAAAAAATTTGTTGAAGAATTTGGTTCTCTATTACATTTACCATCAATGAATAAAATTGTTAATATACTTAAAAATTTAAGTGATCCATCAATTGATAATTATATGAAAGAAATCACGACAATTGACAAAGCAGCTTGTAGTTGGACAAGTCTTATCTCGGGAATTAATTTAAATGTACAGGGTGATCCAAAAGTCTTGGGCCCTCATAGAAAAATTTCTTTTTCTCCGCCATAGTAAATCTAAATATGCTCAAATTTGGAGGTATAATCTCTGAAACTTAGTTGAATATTATCTCAAATTTTCATGACTGTAGCTCTAATTATAAGGGAGATATATGAGCTTGAAGTAGGGACATGGTTTTTTACCCAGGACGTAAATGCACTTTTATTATAAAAAAAACATCTAGGATAAATAATTTTTATCATAAATACAATAGCAAATAATACAAAAATTTATATGTTCAAATGCTGTTATAGTCCTCTTTGTTGACTGAATAACATTTTTTTTTAATCAAGCATTCTAATCGTCTTGGTATTGAATTTATCCAGTTGGAACACATTTGTGGAGTAATGGTGTTCCA